CAAGATCCAAGTATGGTATTAATCTGTGCCAGAGGAAATATGTGCTTGATTTGCTGGAAGAAACAGGCTTGTTGGGTGCTAAACCAACTGAAACACCTATGGCCACAAATATCAGGCTAAGCAGTGATATGGGTGAAGTGTTTGAAGACCCTGGCAGATACCGACGACTTGTGGGYAAACTGAACTACCTAACCATTAATAGACCAGACATCTCATTTGCGATTAGTGTGGTAAGCCAGTTCATGCAGAAACCTATGATTCCTCATTGGAATGCAGTTTTGAGAATTGTGAGGTATTTAAAAAGGGGCTCTAGGTCGTGGTCCGATATACAAGAGTGGCGGAAAACTTGAAATAAAAGGGTATTTTGATGCTGACTGGGCCGGTTCTATGTCTGATAGACGGTCTACCACAGGCTATTGCAAGTAGTGCAGAAGCAAAATATAGGGCTATGGCGCACATTGCTTGTGAATTAGTGTGGCTAAGGAACCGTCTACGGGAAGTAGGGTATAACATCAATACTCCAATGAAGCTCTATTGTGACAATTAGGTTGCAGTTCATATTTCCTCTAATCTGGTGTTTCATGAAAGAACCAAGCTGAATGGAGAGCTAGACGCTACATATGTTAATACAGGAAACCAGTGGGCTGACTTATTTACAAAAGGCTTGAGTCGGGGAAGAGTGGACTACATATGTAACAAGCTCTTGAGGGGGAGTGTTAGCGTAGGGGTATTTCTGTCCTTATACCCAGATTAAGGTTGTTGATCTGTAATGTTGTGTTAGAACCAGTGCTCCTTCCTTAAATAAGGGCACATATGTCTTTTTAATTATTTTAATAATAAAAAGCATTGTCTGGCCGAATGGGAGTTATGTTCTTGAGACTTCCAGTTCGAACCAGACTTTCTCCTTTTCTCTTTCTCTCTCTCTCTCTTTCTTCCACCTTTCTACATAATCGATCTCAGACAAATAGAACTCCAAGGCAGGCCGAATCATAACAAGGTTAAACTGTGATAATCAAGTTGTTGTACACATTTCTTCTAATACAGTCTTCCATGAGAGAACAAAACATATTGAAGTTGACAGCCACTTTGTAAGAGAAAATGTGATAGATGGAGTGATAACTACAGCTCATGTGAGTTCAGGAAACCAGTGGGCAGATCTATTTACAAAGGGGCGGTCTCGGGGCAGAGTAGATTGCATATGTGACAAGCTGGGACTATATGTCATATATTCCCCAGCTTGAGGGGGAGTATTAGAGTCGACAATACAAGGGTATTTAGTCTTTTGTCTATCTAATTGAGAGTGAATAGTTTGTTTTATTCAAGTGTAAGTTATGTGTCCCACCTTTAATGAGGGACAATACTGTCTTTTGTAATTCAGCTTATACATTATAAATACATAGTGGGTCGGCTGGGTAGAGTGACCTTTTCTCTTCTGGTCGAACCCTTCTCCTCTTTCTCTTCTTCTTCTTCTTCTTCTTCTTCTTACATACTTTGAACCTAGAACTGAATAGGATTAATCTACCTATTTACAGAGGCATACACCTCAAAAGCATAAATGCTTCCAGCCTGCACCTCAGGACATTTTGAGGGCACCTCCAGGCATACACCTCCCACACTGTTTAAAACATTGGTCTCAATATGTACATATGCATATTGGAGGACATTTAAACTTGGTTATTTGAGTGGTGTATTGAAGGAAACAGAAACTACAAATCCACGTCATCCTTGGTAGGTTAACAGAATTACATGGTTATGTCATTGTTGCGTGGATCTATAGTTCCACACATCAATAGGAATTATTTATTGACAAAAAATGCTAAAGAAAGTTGAGATAGCATCTCTGAGATATATTTACAAGTCTTAGATGTGTTAAGGGCATATCAACTCAAATGTGAGATAAACAACTTGAAGGGGAGAAGTCTATGTGGTTGGAGATCGGTTTGATATTGGAAATATGAGTATCTAATTTCCTTATCTGTGTTGTTCATATTCCAAAATTGAATATTAACTTGTTATTTATTAGTAGTTAGACAATGAATTTTATTTTTAAACCCCAAAATTTACTCCTGGTAGAGGGGTGGCTACCAAAAATCTTATTAGAGTAGTCAAAAAGACCTAGGAGGGGGATGTAATGCCTTACCCCTCAGGGAAAGCTATACAACAGGCAACCAGCTCATAATATAACAATAGAATCATCTGGAAACCTGAGAACAGAAAGAAACTATCTCCTAATAAGAGGAATTTGGAGCTAATCCTCAAAAACCAGATGACGGGCGTGGCTAGGAATATCAGAACATTAGAACATAAGGAAGCTTGATGGCTGCAAGCTAAATTTGCAAGTGTGTCTGCAACCCGACTGCCTTCACAAAGCATGTGATTGAAAGACAGCCATGTCACTAGAGAGCTCTCTTATCTTATCAAGTTAGTAAATGGTATATAGACTTCCAACTTGCTTTACAAAAAACACACCAATGAGGTGAGAGATGTACTGTAGAATGAGTGCTGGTGTACAGTTTACCAATGATACAAGAAGGTTGTTCTTGTAACTTTAGAGGAGCCTCTAACACCCTTAGTTGTCTTTGGAAGTCCAGTTTTAGGTATGCAATTCACCCTTCCCAATGTGTTTGATGATCCTGATCTAAGCAGCACTTCTCTTCATTGTATTTCACAACAATTGACCTACCACTTATCTCCTTACTATAAGGCCTTACATCTATTCCTTTGTGTTTACTCACAAGTTTGTATATGAAGCACTTGCTAAACCTAAGTGGAAGCAGGGCTGCCAATGGACCGGATATTGTTCCAACCCAACTTGGTCCAATATGAGTCCATTACAGATGGACCAGGTCCAATCCGATTTTATGAATACTTTGGACCATTATAGACTGGTCCATTTCAATCTCTGGACTGTCCAATCTGTTCAAATTGGTTTCAATTTAGATTGGGTCCAACCCAAACTTGGTGCTCCTGGCCCATTGACACCCATGCTCTTTATCTTCTGTCAATGGACCAGGAATTGGTTCAATCCAACCCAGTCTAATATAATTCCATTACAGATGGACCAGGTCCAACCCAATCCAACAAGTTTCACCAACCAAGCTTGTTATGAAATGCTTACATTAGTGTAATGAAAATTGGCGCTGAAGACGATACCTTTTGTAGTGCATTTTTTGTCATAGTTGTTTTGTTTATTTGAGCATTAAAATGGTGATGCTGGATTTGCAATGTTCTCTTTATGCAGTTTCAATTTATCAGTATATCCTCTTTCAAGGACTTTACAGATTCATATTAACACACTGGTTTATTTACAAATTTCCATGTTCTATCTTTTATTGCAATCTGTAGCATTATGAAGGTGACATTTCAGAATTAGAACTATACTTCGTTATTGTAAACAATGAGTATGGAGAGCAAACTGAAGAGGAGCTACTCCCAGGAGGAAAAGATATACGTGTTACAAACGAGAATGTCATTACATTTATTCATCTTATTGCCAACCATCGTCTAAATTTTCAGGTAATATAATCCATTAAATGAGATTACTTTATTATTTTTAGGAGTACATCTTATTGTTTGATATTATGAAATGCTCCTTTGGCAGATACGCCAGCAAAGTTCACACTTCTTAAGGGGATTTCAGCAACTTATACAGAAAGACTGGATTGATATGTTCAATGAGCATGAACTTCAGGTAGTATGACTTTTGATATAGTCCGCTGGCTAAGACCTATCCCATAGTAACTATTTCTTTTTTTCTTTGCTTGAATATTTGTTGCTTATTTGGCATGGTACTGAATAGAGTGGAATGGCAGAACAGGATTCATGCAGCTGACCCCATATAGTTGGGAGGTGGTCGGTGGATTAGTTATGTTGAGTTGAGAGTTCAATGCTGATTTGATAGAATCCATCAAATAAGTCTTATTTGCATAGAATAATCTATTTAGCTAAGGTTTACTGATCAAAAAAAAAATCTATTTAGCTAAGGTATTTGGGCCTTGTTGTGTTGAATTTAGTTGAGAGTTTGATGCTGATTTGCATAGAATCCATCAAACAATCTGATTGAATGTCCTCAGTACGAAGAATTTTGACAAGCACATTGATCTGATCTCACTTCTGGCATATAGTAAATTAGCTGGTAATGACAAATGAGAAATAGGAAAGTGATGCATTGAGGTCCTGAATGAATAATCATGAAATCAAGCCATGCAAAAATTTCTTCAACTTGCATTCCATTGGTTTATCATTATGATGTCCAAGAGATGACTTCATATATGCAATTTCTTTTAGATGACCATGAGGAAAGCATTCTTTAATGAATAACTTCTCAATAAGTGTGTCTTTTTTTTTTTTGCATAAAGAACAAGTAATGCAAAAGCTTTCAACTAAATTCAAAATAGATGGATATTTATTGATTAAAGATAATTCATAAACAGTCTAATCTCTCAGAATGTGGGTTGTCTTGGTGATGATGCCACAAGTTCCAAACGTTGTTAAATGCACTAGAAATAACAAAAGAAGTCAAGAAACTAATATTAGATCAATAACTTCTGATATCTATCTTTTAAACTCCAAAGTGAAAAACCATCCTATCTTACACCCTTTCCCTCTCATTGTCCCAAGTCTGTTGGTCATGAATGCCACAATCATTATGAGAAAATGTTACAATATGACCATCAACTACTACTTGACCGATGGAGATCAAGTTTGTAGTTAATCTAGGAATTAGCACATTGGGCAATTTATAAGAATAGTTATAGATGCGGACAAAGGAAATATTAGTGCCAATAATCTCCTATTTTTCATCATGGACAGTTACAATATATTTATCTTCAAAGTATGATTTGGAAGGAGCTTACCCGTGGTGGCACCTGTCATGTGATTAAGATGCACTAGAATCTATGACCTAGAAAGGACTAGAGCAAGTAGGAAGACTTGCCAAACAAGCTGATAGAAGAGAATGCAGAAGACATTGCCATAGAAACAATACTCCAGAAAAATTGCTTCATTTCTTTAGATATACCACCAATAACCCTTGAGTTATCCTTTGGGCTATCTAGGATTATCATTCCAAGGGGGTTTTATTGGACATTCTAGAAGAACATGTCCTAACAGGTTGCAGTAGACACATAGGTGTCTTTTCTTATCTTGAGATGCCACTCAAAACACTGAATATGTGCAAGGATTTCTCTCATAAGAGTTCAACAAGAACAGAATCAATATCTGAAATTGTCCCTCAGTTTAGGATGTTGGCTTCTGTGAAGAAACTCCCTGATGTACCATTTTATTGTAGTCCTTATTGTATTGTTTCTCTTATTTATTATTATTTTCCCTTCAGCCTTGCAAGGGCCTCTGTGTAAATTCTCTAAATTGTGTTGCCCTACAAGGGCCTTTCAGTATTTTCTTTAACTTCACTTTCTATGTAAAGGACCCTTCGGGTAGGGTCGAATCATCCATTCTTCATCCCTAGAATTCTGTATTCTGCTCTGGGTCTGTTGACATGGTATCAGAGCAAGCTTCTCTATAATTTCTTCTCTTTCCTTGCTCATTCGTTGGGCATATTAGGGTTTTTTGTTCTCAGGGTGTTTTGGCTGGTGTTAAGGCTGTTCTCTTTAGTCCTAACCCTTGTTCCTCTTGAAAGCTTATGTCTGGAAGGATTTCTGATAGGCTGTGTCTTCCAGAACCTTCTCTCATAAAATCAGCGGAAACTAACAAGTCTTGGAGGAGTTCTGGTCTTCTCTCCTGGGTGGCAGCAGATTTGTTTTCTTCCTCTGTCTGTGTACTGATTTCTCCGGTGCGGCAACAGCTTTTCTCCTTGTGGTTCAGTTTTGAACAGTCACAAATTAAGGAATCTCAACAGTCTGGCTTCTTCCTCGCTCAACAGTAGCAGTTTCGAACCAGGTTCCTTTTGCTTCTGACTGAGGAACTTCAACAGACATCAGGTCCTCTCTTCAAGCTAATCTGGAAATCTTCTCATTTCAGGTTGGTGCATCACACTATTGTCATAATCAACTGTGATCAGTCCTTGGAACCCTAGTTTTTGTGCTGCCCTAAGATATTTTCTTCTCTTGGTTATCAGTCCTTGGAGCCCTAGTTTGTGATGCCCTAATTCTTTGGTGTTTATTGGAGGATATTTTATTCTTCTCTAAAGTTTCCTGCTGAAGTTGCCTTGGATTTGTCTATATTTCATGCTTCAGCCCTCATTTTACTTTTCTAAAGAATATTGTGTTCGGATGGAGTGATAAAAGTAGTAATTCTTTTGATGTTGTGCACACCGATGTTTGGGGCCCGTATCACATCCCTTCTATGGAGGGGTATAGATATTTCTCGTTATTTGTTGATGACTATACCCGTATTTCCTGCTCTGACCTAGACCTTTCATCAGATGATTTTAACCTAGTTCGGGGTCAATATCAAAATCTTCAGATCTGATAATGCGAAAGAATACTTCACCAAGCCACTAGCCTTCTATCTGCTTGATCATGGGATTATTCACCACAGCACTTGTCCTTATACACCACAGCAGAATGGGGTTGCCAAGAGGAAGAATAGGCACATTTTGGAGGTGGCTAGAAACATTATGTTTACCTCCAATGTGTCTATCCATTTCTGGGGCGATGCTATTCTCACAGCAGTGTATCTCGTTAATCGGGTTCCTTCACGGGTTCTTGACATGAAGCCTCCGTTTACCCTTCTATACCCAGATGAAGAATTATTTATTGTTCCCCTTAAAACCTTGGGTTGCACCTGCTTTGTTCAGATTCTTGGACCTCATCGTTCAAAATTTGACCCTAAGGCCTCCATTTTTCTCGGTTATGCACACACTCAAAAGGGTTATTGCTGCTATGGCCCTACTTCCGAGAGGAGATTTGTCTCGATGGATGTTACTTTCTTTGAGGAGGTCCCCTATTACCCTAGGGTTTCTCCTTAGGGGGAGAGTAGTGAGAATGGGGTTTTTTTTTCCTCAGGGGGAGAGCAGTGAGAGTGGGGTTAACTCATATGAAGTTCCTTTACCCATTCCATTGAGTGATGAGGACTGTAATGGGGAGGGTTGTTAGAGGTGTCAGGAGTTGAAAGTCTATCACAGGCGGTGGCGGCAGGTTGATTTTGGTCATCAGCAGTCTAGGACAGCCCCAGTTCCTTCTACGGATCCGGATCCAGGTCCCACTGAGATACCTTCCACTGTTGCTACTTCACTTTCTTCGGATGACCTTGACCTCCCTATTGCAGTCCGTAAAGGGAAACGGCGTTGCACCACATCCACAGCTCATTGCATTTCCCAGTTTTTGTCCTATGATCGCCTGTCTCCCTCTTACAGGTCCTTTCTCACTTCCATTGCTGATATTCCTATCCCCAGAACAATGCAGGAAGCCTTGTCAGTTCCTGAGTGGAAAGATGCAATGAAGGTTGAAAACTCCTATATCTTTGTCTTGCCCGACCAGACATCAGTTATGCAGTCAGTGTTATCAGTCAGTACATGCATTCTCCTAGAACTACTCACCTCCTTGCAGTTGAGAGAATATTAGCATACTTGAAGATAGAGGTCCATACAAATGCTGATTGGGCTGGGAGTGTTGATGGCAGGAGGTCTACCTCTGGATATTGTGCCTTTGTAGGAGGTAACCTTGTCTCTTGGAGGAGTAAGAAACAAAGTGTTGTTTCTCGCTCCAGTGCTGAAGCTGAATACAGATCGATGGCTAATGGAGTGGCTGAAGTCATTACTTGAAGAGTTGGGTATTGATTATGAGAAGCCCTTGATGCTGTATTGCGATAATCAGGCTGCTATTAATATAGCTCACAATCCGGTACAACATGACAGAACTAAGCATATCGAAGTTGGTCGACATTTTGTCAGAGAAAGGGTTTCATCTCAAGAAGTGTGTCTCACGTATATCACCTCCAACATGCAGCTCGTAGATCTTCTCACCAAGGCTGTACCAAGGAAGAAGTTAGAGGCAGACTTATGCAAGTTGGGAATGACAAATATATATTCCCAACTTGAGGGGAAGTGTAGAGAACACTGATGTGGGCCCCACGGTTGTGGTCCCCATTGTGTTCATATGACAGCACAGCATGTACTCTTTGTTAGTTATGTCAGTGTTAGTTGGTAGTTATTTCAAGCAGCTTGTTATTTCAGCTTATTATTAGTTTATTTACCATGTAAGCATTAAGGGCAATTCTGCCTTTTCTACAATTAGTAAACATATAAATATTAAGAGTGGGGCGGCAGATTCAATTAATCAGTCCCTCTCTCTTTTCTAAAACCCTTGTGTACTTCTGCTTCTCCTTTTCTTCTTCTTTCTTCTTCTCTTTTCTCCATCTGAAACCCTTTTACTTTTAAATTCAAGACTGATTGTAGTCTTGATCGATTACTATTTGGTGGATTGGAGCTTTTTGCTAGAGGTTCTTAGAAGTTGTGGCTTTGGAGAGAGATGGTGTAGTTGGTGGAAGGGTTGTATCAGCTCCTATCACTATTCAGTATTGGTCAATGGTGTGGTTAAGGGCTTTTTTCCATCTTGTAGAGGTCTAAGGCAAGGTGACCCCCTCTCCCACTTTATCTTTACCATAGTAGCGAATGTTTTTCAGTAGGTTAAATCTCCAAAGCAGATAAGGAAGAGGTAGTAATAGGTTGAGGATAGGAAGGAATAAGTCCCAGTGACTCAAAGGTTTAATATAGTACTTTGAGAGTGTTTC